GCAGCATAACTGACGGTATAGGCACCGCTGCTCCCAGTAAGACTGGCAGCGACGCCGACAGCCGTTCGTCCTGAGGAGAATGCCATATTTGGTCCGTGCGAACTGCTTGATCTAACTGCATAGTAGGATGCAGCCACCGCGCTTCTAGGGTTCGTGCCACCGCCCAAATCTACGTCGCTCCGCAAGAATCCCTAATGGCCGCCTCAACAACGTATGTACCGTCTCTAACACTCTAGCGTAATGTATTTGACGGTGCTGCCTACTGATCAGCGTCCCGACTGTCACGGTGAGCACACGTTCCACCATTCGTGCAACCTTACAAGTGGTCTGACCTTGCGTTTACGCGTGAACAGGACATCGAAGTCCCGGAGACACTCCTCAAGAAACGTAAGCAAAACGAACAAGTACACAAAGAGCGTCTCGAAAAAGCGGCTGCGCGTCGACAGGTTTGTCTCCTTTTCGTATTATGCATAGGTCGCCCTTGGCTTGTTATGATGCATATTATTTATTTCTGGCTAGTGGAGGCATTGTTCTGCACCATGTTGCTCGAAACATACCATCTTTCGGGACTGATTTCTTTCATAGTCTATATACTATTTTCTCATAGTTGCTGTGTGATATACCCAACTAACCATGTTCTTATTCAGGCGGCGAAGAAGCAGCGCAAGGTCATCTTCAAGCGTGCCGAGGCCTATGTCAAGGAATACCTTTCTCGGGAGAAGGAAGAGATTCGCTTGAAGCGTGCCGCACGCGCAGCTGGTGACTTCTATGTCCCAGCACAGGCGAAGGTGTACTTTGTCATTCGTATTCGGGGGTCAGCTTGCTGGTTTCTCTTTAATGCAGCGTAATGTACTGACTATGTCCATGCTTTAGTATCAACGAGATTGCGCCTAAGCCCCGTAAAATCTTACAGCTCCTTCGTTTACTGCAAATCAACAATGGTGTGTTCGTGAAGGTGACGAAGGCGACTGAACAGATGCTCCGACTCGTGGAGCCTTATGTCGCTTATGGGTGTGTTTCTCCAACTCATAGCTGGTATCTAATTCTGATGGATAAACTTCATAGCGAACCCAATCTCAAATCAGTTCGTGAGTTGATCTACAAGCGCGGATACGGAAAAGTCAACAAGCAACGGATTCCTTTGACAAACAACGCCGTCATTGAGGAAGCGCTGGTTAAGTACAACATTTTGTCGGTGGAGGATCTTGTGCACGAGATTTTCACTGCGGGCCCCAACTTCAAGCAGGTTAGTAAATACTTGTATCATTCGACATGTCTCTTGATGTTGGCGATAGGCATCAAACTTCTTGTGGCCATTCAAGCTGTCCAACCCCACTGGTGGTTGGAGGACACGCAAATTCAAGCACTTCATCCAGGGAGGCGACTTCGGTAACCGGGAGGAGAACATCAACAAGCTGATTCGGCAAATGAACTGAATGTATTGTTGGCTGGGCAGTTGGTTCATACTATGTGCGGCGAGCGGCTGCGCGGGAGGAGCATCTATGCATACGCTCGAATTACTGGTGACCATGTTTCTCGCTGTATGCTATTATCGCTATGAACACCATTCCTTGCGAGAATGATCATGCGCTCTCACGAATCGGTGTGGTCAGTTGGTTGTAGACAGTAAGCACACTATGAAGTTAACGGAACACGAATGCTATGCGATTTTTGTGAAATTGTTCAAGTTGTCAATGGAAGTGGTTTGAAGCCACCCAACGGGGTCATCATGACATGCTATGCCATGCAGTCGTTCCATATCAAGTAGTGATCGACGGTGGACGCTAGCTTTCCGTTACTCCTTCCAGTGACTTCGTTCTATCGCTGAGTGTTTTCGTTTTTTTGGAGGTGCCTACCACGATGTCCCGCATCAAGCAATTGCTAATCCTGGAGGAATCCGGATTATTCAGCGGGAATATTCACCCCGCGTGCACTCCTCCGGGAACACCCTAGCTAGATGCACCACCGTGTCAGTGAGCGGCTGAATGCGGGGGTGTAATGCTTTCCTCCCGAGACGCCCTTTTTTCGAATGTGAGTTCACAGTCTAGCTGTATGCGCCGTATTGTCATGTTATCCCATTGTCGCAATCAGTGGTGTTCGGAGGTCGAAGCGTCGTGTGCGATGCAACTTCCAGGCCAAGTAAGCCGCAATCGTTCGAAAGTGGAATCCGTCCCCGGGAGTGAGACTCTGAGAGTTGCGTCGGGAGTGTCTCCAAAGGGTGGGGCCCTCCACATATTGGCATTCAAGGGTCAAATGTTTCGGACCCGATGCATATGGCTCTCTTCGAGTAGGCATTGATATTGGCCCAGTACGGGCCACATTTCTACGCATCGTGTATTTTTTCCCACAGGAAGTCGGACATCATCCGCGTTACGTCACAGTGACGGAAAGTCCTCCATATGCTCGTTCGTAGGCATACCGTCTGCGGGGCGCGCTAGGTTGGCTTCCGTCTTCCACTGGGGTGCGTTTTCGCTTGTTGTGTAGTTTCTCTCACGAAATAGAACACGTGTACAAGTGAGCATCCAAAATAGCACCCGTAACCCAACTGCCAATACTTGAAGACGAAGGGCAACGCTGCGATGCATTTATGTTCTCCTGGCAGTGACAGCACCACGGGCCGGCACCATTGAGTACAGGTGCTATCGCCTAGACACTGTCAGGCCCCATTGACAAGCGGGCCCAATTCATAGCTCGCTTTCTAGCGCAGTTATGTAGTTCCTGCGGTGCCTTACAATCACCGAACGGCGAGGGTGATATAAATGAGGATAGTCGTGTCGATCTTTGCACCCCCCACCTGCTGCCCCGTATGGATACACAATTAGCCCTCATTATTGTCGCCGCGACACTCGCTTTCCGTTCAATTTGGATTCGCTGGCATAAGCATAGTAGACCACCAGGCCCTAGGTCTCTGCCGGTCCTGGGTAGCGTCCTTCAACTTCCATTGACTTATCAGCAGAAGACGTTCGCCGAGTGGGGCAAATACTACGGTAGGTATTATGAAGTCTATGTATATTTCGCGCTTATTTGCAGTGTAATTCAGGGGCACTCATTTTCGCCGAGATGTTCCATAAGCCGCTTATTGTTATCAACTCCTTGAAAGTCGCACAGGAACTTCTCGACAAGAAAGGCTCTATATACTCTGACCGGCCTCGATCGCGTTTCCTAGAACTGTGCGTCTTGGAATGGCATTATGAGAGAAGCACTAATGGGTCGAACGGTGATTAGTGTTGGATGGGACCTCAATTTTGCGTTTTTGAATTATGGAGACGAATGGCGGAGGCAGAGAAAATGGTTCCAGGCCGCATTTCAGACACAGCATGCACTGGAGAGTTACTATACTATCCAGCGACGGGAGGTACAGAGACTGCTCTATGGATTGATTGAGGAGCCGGCAGAATATGTCTCACTGATAAAGCAGTAGGCAATTTTCTCAATCTTTCATGAACTATTCTTATTATCCACGATAGATTCACCGCAGCTTTAGTCATTGACATTGGATATGGTCATACCATAACGTCCATAGAAGACCCGTACGTCGAAATGTCGGATAAAGCATTGCTGGGAGTCATCGAGGCAGGAAACTTATCTTCGAGCCTGGTTGACTTCTTTCCTATCTGTTAGTATCACCTGTTTGCTCGTCCCACTGTGTTTAATACTCCTGCACAGTGCAGTATCTTCCCGCGTGGATGCCTGGTATCTCATTCAAGCGAAGCGCCCTCAGAACACGTGAGTACGTGAAAGAAATGCTCGATGTCCCTTTTGAGGAATTGCAAGCGAATATTGTGCGTGAATTGGAGTTCATTTAATATGCCATGACTGACATGGAATTCCAAAGGCATCCCGTGGTGCAAAACCATCGTTTGTCGGCAGCTTACTCGAGGAAGCATCCAGGCATGGTGATCCGACGCCTGAAGATATTGTTCATATCAAGAACGCTGGGAGTGTACTGTATGCAGGTGCGTCCTGAGATTATATATATAAACTATCTTGAATGCTTATTAACGAAACAGCTGGGACCGATACTGTGGGTCTCCCATTCAAATTGCTAGCCAACCATCATCTGAAGCTCAAGCGCTCTATGCCTCCAGACAATGACCACCTTGCTGACTTTCTTTTTGGCAATGGTGACTAATCCCGATGTTTTTCGTAAAGCTCAGGAGGAAATAGATAGAGTCATTGGAGATGCTCGCCTGCCCGATCTACATGACAGAGGCACGCTACCTTATCTGGATTGCATTCTCAAAGAATTGTTTCGGTGAGTAAATCTATGCACGGAGCATTGGTCTTGAACTGATCGGACACAGATGGAATCCACCTCTACCCTTGTGTAAGTACTGATTTTCTGCCCATGCAGACACACTTATGCTAGTGTTCTAGGCCTTCCTCACCGCCTCAAGAAAGATGACGACTACCTTGGATATAGTATCCCGGGAGACTCCCTAGTATTGCCAAATCTATGGTAAGTTACGTCATTCTTCCTGGATTTACACCTCCACCTCTCTGGCATCAAATTGAATCTGATCACTCAGGGCTATGGGTCGTGATCCTGATGTATATAATTCACCGGAAAGCTTTTGTCCGGAGCGATTTGAAGGTTTGGATGCACAAACAGCAGATGCGATAGATCCACGCAAGTTCACATTCGGGTTTGGTAGACGGTATGATTCTGTTGTCACAAGTGTATACGCCGTCTGTTCACTTCCTGCCTCCATTGCCTACAGGGTGTGCCCTGGACGTCAATTTGCGGAGTCTAGCATATGGCTGGCGGCAGCAAACATATTGGCTACGATGGATATTGGGAAGGCACGCGACTCGAAGGGTGCAGAGATCGCGGTTGAACCCGCCTTCATTTCGGGCGCGGCTAGGTAAGATGCAGTCAGCATGCAGAAGCAATCGATATTGATACCGGAAGCCAGCCATCCAAAGCCCTTCAAATGCGACATTCGCGCGAGGTCTCAAAAAGCCCAAAATCTTATTGCTCAGGTAGTGACAGCTCACTAGGGACTATGAATATCTCAAGGAATGCTTCACGATCCACATTGTATCCAGCGTGCACTTTGCTTACGAGGTTTTATGGCAACGCTAATTACAGATTGGATGGCCTCTTGAAAGTCGGAAATTTGTAACAGAAGTTTCTAGATCGGTCTTAGAGTCTGCGGTGATATCCTTAGATTTCTACGTTTCTGACACGAATCCTCAGTGCTCTGTGGTAGCTGCATCGTTGCATCGTTGCGTCAACAGAGTAGTTTTGTATCCAGACGTGTCGACGAGTTTGTGACAACTGCTACTGGGTCTTTGTTTTCTGCTGAGCCGGTGGGCGACGCGAATTTGAAGAGTGGTCGTGCCAAAATTGACAAGTCAGCGGGAATAGTTACTCCAAACCCTCCAGATGCCAACCTGAAAGCTTGGCCCCGAAAGCGGAGAAAATCATTGACCGATGCCTAAAGCTTATATCGACACATATGCACGGAGCATAATGTTTGTCACGTTGAATGGCAATTCTAATTGTCTTTCTTGGACGAGAAATGCTGTGATCGTAGAAAATATGAGTTACTAGTTGCCCAATCGCAGTGATTCAGACAAGCGTCGACGCGTCTACTGCCAGGCGCCTGCGCGACGCGTCGAGTATGACCGCGTCAGGCGCTGGCGGGAATCCTTCAGACGCGTTCCTCTGAGTCCATCGTGTCATATTTGTCGATCCTGCAGAGGGCTGCACTTAGCAATGTCGCGCAGACGGCGTCCAACCGCATACGAAGTTTCTTTTGGAGAAGAAGATCCACAGCAATCTATTCCTGCTGAGGATCTATCTAGCAGGCTCGCCTCAAGCTCCATCGCGACGGGCGAGAGACATGCGCGCAGTTTTAGTTCACTCGGACGCAGCGGGCTGAAGAGAAAGGAATATGAATTAAGTTCATTGGTTCGTGATCGTCCCCCTTACAGTGTGTTTTGCTCTTCAAAAACTGCCCGTCGTAGTCAGGAAAGGCTCCGAAGCGGTCTAGACTGGACGTCCGAACTGCCCCAAGTGAGTCTGATGTGAACGCCGGGAAGCATTTGCTGAAATTGTTATCATTCGGGAAGAAATACGCTATCAAAAAGATCCCAATGACATTGTGGAATGTAAAGACATGATCATTAGGGGAGAAACTTCAGACAATCGAGCTCTGGATTCTGAGGACGTACCTGTGCGGATGCTCTCAGACTTTTGTATCTTTGATTCCCGTGACTACCAGCTCCTGTCCCTAAACCTATTGGATGATGAGGGTAGCACACACAAGTTAGCTGCTGCTGGATGTGTGGAACCTGTGTTTGCGGATGAAGAAGATGCGGGACAGGAAGATGACCTTCAAGTTCCTTCCCTGCGACTTCGAACAACTGAAATTTTCAGATTTGCCATTGATTACGCGAAGATGGACGAGTACGTTCTCGGTTACACTGATGAAAGTTGATCATATTCAATCTAGTAGTCCTGTCTATATACAGACTCAGTACGGGTGGTATATTCTTAAGGCGCCATCCTCTCCCTATCGGCTTCAATTTGAGAATTTCTACCGGCCTCACAGAGTTACGCAAGTTTTCATTTCTGCCGCAAGGGAGAATCCGGAATGGACAGCCGAGAACTTTTATTCTACTTATGATGGAATGTGGGATCGTTTCTTACAGTGCCGACTCCGTAAGCGAGATTTTGAGGCCACCGTAGGCACTATCCTTTGACTATATTTTGGGACTACTGCTAACTGGATATAGATGCCGTTCATCCGAAACATCCTCAAAGATCTGTATGAATTAGATGTTTCTGTCGCTCCCACTACGCTGGTTGAATGGGTTCGTAACTCTCGGACACCGTCATTGCTTCCCAGCCGGACACCTGGACCGCATGCCCCTTGCAACCTCCGGCACCCAACATTGGCGCGCTATAGTCCATCAAAAAATCTTGATCTTGCAGTTCTACGAACTGAGAATCAGATTCGAACTCATGTGACACCACTTATAGATCGGCTCGCATTAGGGCTGTTTCAAGAGCATTTACAAGTGGTAGGTGCAAAAGAGCCTAACTCTCGCAATATGCAGCAAATTGAGAAACAAGATCGGATTTGGCTTCTGAGGCTTGTTGGCAAATGGCTAGATGCCCTGTCCGGAAATCGAAATCCTCGAATTCAATTTCCCCCGAACGAGCAGCTCCGCGATGAGTTCTGGAGGTCTGTAGTTATTGATGGTTGTACGTATGCTGTGAGTTTTAGCAATGAGATCTCTTTGGAGAACGTACTGAGCTGATACCTGATAGGTTGGAGACGTCGTGTTAATTCCCGCAGGTAATGACCCCGAGAGACGTCGTGAGGCTCCTACCCCACCAACAAATTTGAGGGATATCAGCGATACTGCGACGGTCTCCGACTACTTCTGGTCTGTTTTTCATACGCGCTCGTGCATGTGTGAGATTGTTGCTCACCAAAATGTAGGTTCGGGAAGATAATCTTCATCGACCAGAGGCGCAAAAAGGTTCACTGTCAGTGGATGGAACATGCTTCGAAGACCATGCTTGAGGAGATTGGTGATCCCCAGGAGTTATTCCTGTGTGGGACTTGCACAAAGCCCAACGTCGACCTTCACGATATCCTCGATAAAGCCACTGTCTGTTGGAACTCGCGGAGAAATAACAATCTTGCTCCATCGGAGTTCTATTGTAGGTAAGACGTAGTGGTCGGGTTAGTTATCCAATTCTGACATCTGCTTTAGCTTCTTTTATGATGAGCCCAACGCTCTGTATAGGGACCTCGATGATCCAAATTCGATCGCTGCGTTAGCCTCCGAACCTCCTGAGAACTGTCCTGTTTGCCTCCTCAGTGAACAACGGGAGCATGAGCGCGTAGGCCAGCTCATTGAAGACGGCGTTGCTTATGGCGGCTTGAATTATCATGTTCACGACTTTGCCCTTCTTCGTGCTGAGAATGATGTAGATTCTGCGGACATCGTTCAAATCTTGGATGTTCGGTTCAGTACACGCGCCAGATCCGCCCACTTGGCTGTTATGTCTGTAAGAATGCTTGGTCGGATCGGTGATATCATGCACATCTGTCCTCATGGTATTATCAAAGACGAGGTACGTTATCTATGCTCATATATGGGAAATGCCGCGTACTCAGCAAACCAGCAACACCTATTTCTGACAGATGAAGAGATACATGATGTACCTGTGACACGGCTCGTCAATCGATGCTATGTCCTTCATCCAGATAGTGCCCGCTCACCAGGAATTGACGAATGGCTCTCTCTCTCTCCATCGCACATGTACGCCCGTTTTCATTTTCCGACACGGACACCGAGCAACTGGTCGGAGCGAAAGAGGCTCAAGTATTGGGACGTTTTCATCTGTCCTAAATGCATCAAGGATGACAATGAACAAGTCGCCAATTTAAGACAGTTCCTTAGTCCATCCAACCAACTCAAAGCGTTTGATCCATTTGGTGGAGTAGGGGCATTTGGTTTAGGTATGGAGGAATCGGGCTGTGTCAAGATGGTTCATGCGGTGGAAATCTCACCAAGCGCGGCGAGAACACTGCAGTATGCGTCTTAATTCTCGCATATATTGGAGGAACTCACGGGTCTGTATTCAACAGGAATAATAGCCCTAATGTAAAAGTGCATAATCAGTGTTCTAATATTGTCCTGCAGTACGCAATTAAGACGCACGCCGGGCATCAAGTTGAAGCGCCAGAGACTATTTCAAGACGAGGACAACTTCCTGATCCGCCCAAACCTGGTCAAATTGACTGCATTGTCGCTGGTTTTCCTTGGTATGCCGTCGCCGTGCTTAATTGCCCGCAAATATCATAAATTTTTCGATCACAGCCAGCCGCATTCGCGCCTGAATATGTTTCAACGAGCAAATGACCGGAAGAGTCATTTGATACTCAATCTACTGTCCTGGATCGACTTCTTGCGCCCTAAATACTGCTTTCTGGAGAACGTCCGTGGTTTTTTAAGTTATAGTTTGAATGCTACGCAAGCCGGTCGTTACCGAGTAGAAGGTGGTATAGCTATGGGCGGCCTCAAGTTTGTGATTCATGCCCTTTTAGCGATGAAGTATGTTCTCGGTGGTGCAATAGGTGTTGTCATCTTATCCCACTCAGTTACCAGGTCAGGATGGGCCTTCTACAGGCAGCCCACTATGGGACTCCCCAAACTCGTGTGCGCTTTTTCCTCATCGCCGCTCGTCACTCGTACCTGCTTCCATCTATGCCTCAACCCACGCACAGTTTTCCTGTGAAGGATGCTCTCGCTCTAAAACTTACCAACGGTGGTATGGCCTTACCAGTCCTTACTGGGAGTGGGTTAGCGCCTTTCAAATACATTTCTATCGATGATGCTATCTCGGATCTGCCCCGTTTTCACTGGTGGTTTTCATTCTCTGTTATGTATTGACATTGATTTAATGAGAAACGTTGCCCAACAGGAGAAATCCCGAAAGCATTTCTCGCGGCAGGCATCGGCGGCGTGGTTCGGATCTATCTGAACAGTCCGATAGTGGTGATGAACCAGAGCTTATATGTGATTCTACAAAAGCTTTCTGCGGTTTCTCGGGGCCCACTGATTATCATCATGAACCACGGACTAAATTCCAGAAGAAGTGCCGGGAGAAGGGAACGAGAGACCTGCAACATTTCACAAGAGTATTGCCAGATAAAGTCATACAAAGGTACGTACTTGATTATGTATCGCAGAACTGAAACTAGTACTGACATAACTGTGCAGGGTTGTTGAAATCCCTTTGGAGGCTAGGGCGGATTACACAAGTTAGTTTGCCCTGGTTGTGTTGAAGTATTGTAGTGACTAATGTTTTTCAAATAGGGCTGAGAGAGGAGCTATGGGAGTGGCAGTTCTCAAATCCCACGTCAGCGGTGGCAAGAGATGGTTTTCGTGCAGGTACGATTCCATCAATCAGTTTCCAACAAACTTCACTTTGAGTATGATCTATTCAATCAGGCTTGTATGGTCGTTTGGACAAGAACGAGTGGTTCCAGACGACAGTCACTAACGTAGAGCCAACTGCGAAGCAATCAAGGGTCTTAAATCCTTACGTATGTATTTTTTCTTAAAATTGATCCCTCAACTTTAAGGCTGTATGATCTAGTGCAAACGCGTTGTCACGGTCCGCGAACTTGCACGATCTCAGGGATTTCCCGATCATTTTGTTTTCTATGCGGAAAATAGCGATGTCAAGACGGTGATCGCTTCGTCCATCGTGTCGCATTCAAGTCTACTAACCTGTGGTTGGGCAGATGCATCGTCAGATTGGAAATGCAGTACCTTGGCCAGTTGGAGCGGCTTTGGGGCGTGAATTAAGAGATGCTGCATTGACGAAATGGCTTACAGACAGACAAGAAGCAACAGTGATTGACTAATGTAAGCGCTAGGTACCATACATCGACGTTTCTTTCCCGAGTCTTTGGACACACTTGCGGCACTCATCTCTGAGACTAGATTTATTAAATTATGTAGCACCCATTTTCGCGCATCATAGTAGTACGGAGATATAGCATACAACATCGGTTCACTACTCCTTCGAGGGTGATATGACAACCCAAACTATCCCTTGAGAGCATGATAGGAGCACATTCGTTAGCGAGAACAAGATACACGATCCGACATTTATGAAGGCCTCATCCACGATCCACCGCACAAACAGCTCGTTTCGAATCTTCTGTCCCATATCTGCCATCGCACGGAACGATCCTTCCGCCTATCGATTATACCAACCTCTGATTTGTAGCCACACCGCAGGCATGCTACATAAGGCGTGTCTCGCGTAAGGAGACTTTTGGAAACGACATCTCTCTCTCTAGTTTTTATATTCTGTTCCGTGAACGATAATCGTGATACCCCATCCACGAGATCGTCCGGCTTGAGAAAAAGTCGAGGCCGATCTATCACCCCAGCGCGCAGCACTTGGGATATTGCCATGGGTAAACGTGCGGCTAGGGGCGGTAAGGGGCAACATGCTGCCAAACTCCTTTGAACATCGATTTCTAATTTTCTCAAACGAATCAGAAAGATTCTACAGGACAACTTCACGACTCTTACCTTCCAGAGATCTGAGATCCTGCATAACCTCATCGAGGGCATGATTCAGCTGACTCAGATGTACTCCAGAACAGCTGAAGACATCCAGGAGAACATCTTTCGCTATCTGCGCATTTTCACCTTTCGCTGGGGTAACAGCAATAAAATCGCGGAACCGTTTGACATGTGCTAGTAGAGACAGCACTTTTTGGAGGGCGTAAGGATGGACTAAATGCATAAAGAGCGGAGATGCGGTTGCTGTTGACACAATAGGCTCGTGGCCAAAGAGGACACACTCCTTTAAAAGATCCTCCATGAATTCAACGAACCAGCTGGACATGCCGACAAGTCGCCAAACGGCATCTGGCCGAGTCAGGTATGATATTTTAACACTGCACAGGAAAAACTCACCAAGATCATACCCTTTGACTATCTGACATGCTTCGAACGCGCTACAGCATGCCGAGAACGAACAGATGTCATGAGCTACCTTCCAACGCGCTATGAGATTTTCTCGGTCTGCGTCGCTGACGTCGCGTCGAGATTTCAACCTGTGAGGTTGCATATTTCGTCATGAGAATGACGTCATTCAAAAAAAAAATCGAGACATACAGATATATCTCAGAAGCAATACCAATCACTTCCTCGTTCCAATGTTCGGATGGTCGATGAGCGTTAAGAAGCGACAAAACACATTGCAGCACCTCTACAACTATGTCAATAGAAGTATCATGTTTAGTCAATACGTGTATAACATCGGAAGGTGAATTTCTTGACAGAAGAGCAGCAGTCATGCAACATGAGAGATCTTTGACGTTGACGGCTTGCACAACCGTCCGGGAAGATGAATTTGAGTGAAAAGGCTGTGGTAGGGAATGGATCGACACGTGAGAAGTCATCAGCGCAAACGACGGAATGCTGCATAGTAGGCGTAAGTTTGGCGAATACGACAATCCAGCAGGAACTGCGCAGTTGGTTATAAACCATCTGGAATGAATTTCATTAAATTGGATCACCTTCACGGCTTGCACCTGAAACATTGCAGATGATTGGAACTTCCTCCCAATTATCGTCAGGCAACAAATCAGGCCTTACCGACGAACAATCAACAGCAAAATTCTAGGTGACACTCTGACACTCACAACTTCAAAACTAGGATCTGACCCATAGAAACCCCCACCGTCGTACGCTTTCTGGGCTGTGCTACTCCATTCAAATCTAAGAGTCCCACGAGCAATCCATGCCTTGATGGCGATGGGTGCACAAACGCAAGAACCTTGTCGACAAACGGTCGATCGCCTTTCTGTTCTGCATACTGATCACGAGCTAAGCGTATCATCTAGTGGTAAATCATTTATCACAGACCCATGTCGAACTGCCACTGCTGGTCAGTGGAGACTCTTTTCTTGCAAACGAAAACAGCGCCAGTCGAGATTTTGGTACTGAAGAATCTGAAACAATAGTTTACGCATGAATTGTCATGTCTCTTTAGGAGCTAATGCAACTCACAATCGCCAAAATCAAGTATACTCACTACCAAGAACGGCCCAGTCTTGCCAGCTTTCAGACTTATATTGCTCGTCTCAGGATGACTGGGAGGAGAAGACCCAATCATGGGAAGAGAAATAAATGTGAGATCGGCGATATTCTGACTGACACCAGAAATGGGACGAATAGGTCGTGTGATCACTCCTGTAACAATTCACGTCGATAATCGTGTAGCCACTCAGAGCACTCAAACGCACCCGTTACATTGGCTTTCATGACAAGATTCACTTCACAGAGGTGGATGATGGACTCATCACCCCAGGAGTCCCACTCTGGCGAGAAGGGCCCTTCTGATATTGATCCGAGCTGGGACATGTTGAGAGGCAGATCTAGATCCATGGACGGATACGGTTCATGATTGGCATCCTGCGAAGGAAGGATGCGCGAGCGCATGGCCACTAGGACAGACGACTCTACGAGAGTACGGACGATCAAGAAGGTATTCACGGGGGGAAATAATGAAAATACCATTGTAGCTCATACAAATAGCAGCCTTCACGCACACGCTTCTGCCCCCGAGCCCTGTGGCAGAATCGTCCAGCGCAGGCGGTTCGCTTTCTGTCGTCTTGCTTGCTTGCAGCAAGGGGGCTCGCAATATCTTCAAAGACGGTACATGTGGAGGTAATTGGCATATATTGACATGGTGGTCTTGAGTGACCAGAAGGAGAATTGCACTGGCAGGAGGAATCATCGGGCCGCGTGGCGGCAGACGCACGAAAGCATTTGAATCCAAGGCGACCCACTATGTAACGCATTGCATCAGTATAGCAGCGTCGTGTTTCGGTCACTACGTCTTGACTAACCTCTCTTTGCGAGGATGTCCAATCCACGACCACAGGACTAGTTCCAGGAGCAAAACTCCACCATTCCTGAACCCTCCAACTTGCAAGTTCTGCCTCTCTATGCCACAAGCATCCAATGCCATCAACGTCTCGTCCGGGATAGTATGCAAAAAGCCAGTCATCCGCGGGCGAAACAGACACAATAGGTGGGGGCTCGTAAGAAGCGGGAGAAGCCTGGACGGGTGTGGGAGATGGCAAGACAAATTGTCTTTGAGATGAAGGAAAGTGATGCGCGAGAATCAGAGGGTCGGTCGGGTGGACGGTGAAGATTATGGACGACTTGGACCATACAAGAGGTCTAGACAAATCTTCTTGTTGTCAGTGAAATCCTGCGAGAATGTACATTGTTTACTGACCTGCGTGTGCCCTCAAGGGAGTGAGGTATATCCCACCAGCCGAGCTGCCAATGCGTATCGTCCCGGGCCTTTCCTTTGGACGGCAATCTCTGATCCTGCATAGTGCAGAACTATACCCAAATGTGACGCTGAAGGGGCTTCAGTCATACACAGGCAAAGGTAGCGAATACGAGAGACAGCAATTTGGACAAAAACACTAGCATTGGCCCGGGTTCGGCGATACTGTTTTATTTACTAGATAATAATTAGCATCCGAATCACATGTACAACTCTACTTTACACTACTGCTCAGTACTTCATTACTTCAGTGTTCACCGTCCCCACTTACACCAATCATCCACTGCACAAACTGCACTCTCATGCTACCATCCTCGCAATTGTCCCGAGAATTGGATGGGACATCCACTCAGGTTCTTCTGCAGAATTTTGCAGATCGTATCCTCGTTCTCATTACACAGATGGGCAAAGTTGGCAATCTGGTATGTCGAACTCTGTGTCCCTGTTCAGATGGTAGACTTTCATGGGCTGCTAAGATACAAGCTACAATTCCACCAACAACACCCCTAGACCCTCTGCCGCCGCCAGATCCAGCCCAACCCAACGTTGTGCCTCTACCTATCCCGCCACCCGCAATTCAATTGACACCACTCCTTGGTCATGCACCGTCAGAGCACATGCAGACTTTACATTCCTTGTATGCATCCCAGGTTGCGACCCTTGTGTGGACATCGGGAGCGGAGGTAGCATTGGAGACAGAAAGGCGGGCAGTGGTGGTGGGACTGGCTTTGCGCAAGTCAGACGATGCATCAGGTGTAGGATTAAGCGAGCATGAACGGAAAGTCTTTTACGGTGTCATGGATGTGGTGAAAGAGCTATTGCGCTAAAGGGTACGGGGATGTACTCAACCTAAATTGAATTCATTGTATATTAGTATCCGACTCGGCACTTAATGCGTACCTCTTCATTCCCTCTCCTTCTCGACTTCCTTCTTAATCGCATCCAAGGCCTCTTCTTCACCCCCTTCACTCAGCTTGTTTCGGCGCTCATTTCGCCACTTCGCCCATCTCCACGCCGTCAGCTCAGAAAGCCTGTCCCCTTGTGCAATGCCTGAACGTGGATTGATTTCGTACAAGTAATAGGCGAATACACCTGTGAATACACCTAGGATAGGATCCAATGTGCTGGATGTACTTGAGAATAGTTTTAGAGTGTTAGATATAGATATACTTACCGTGAAAGTAGGGCCGGGGGCATCTAACTTTGATGCAAGAGAGCAAGGTTAAAACTTGAATCTGATGAAGCGCGTGTCGTGGTAACTTGAAGTTGCAATAGCTATGCCTGCCCCGGCTAAAGTTCTGTCGGACTGCCCTCACGGGGATTTGTGAAAAGAGTCTTTCCCACTCAAATTCCGCACGAAAATTATATCCGAGACACGCTGGCAGACAGGCGCGATTTTCTGCGGCGAGGGTGTCGGAAACGGACGGGGACAAGTACGAGAACGTGACTAGACACGCCCTCGCTCGTAGTGGCTGAACCGGCGAGTCGTGTCCCAAAATTTCGATTTGTGACACGCACTGTGCCCTTCTCTTGACATCCTGGGGCTGCTCTGTTCCTTCTGGCTGTTTCCTTTAATCGTCTTATTGCGTGCTTTATTCTGGATGTCTGCTGCATTCGAACGTCAGATTCGCCCAATCTATGGTCTGCCTCATACGCATTGCTGGATCTTCACGTTACTCAATTAATCTGCTCTTCACGCAGAGGCTCTTGATAATGGGTCCAACAAATCTGCTATACTAGCATGCAATAAGCTTCTCAAGAAGCATCCAAAGAATGACCTGATTAAGGTATATTTTCCTTGCTCTCTACATGACATTATACTCATTACCGCTCTAGGCCTTGAAAGCTCTCGCGCTGGTCCGCTCGCAAAAGGTCGAAGAATCACTCGTCCTTTGTGATGAGGTTCTAGCAACCCGGCCCATCGATGAATCGACTTTGTCTGCCATGATGCATGTACTTCGGAGCCTTGGTCGACGTTGGTGCCAGCTTTTATTTTGCTTTCCATCTGAGACAGCTAACTTGCATTGCAGATACCGACATGGTTACAATGTATGAAGATGCATTCAAACAGCAGCCTGGAAATGAGGAGCTGGGCTCTCAGACGTTTATGGCAAACGTCCGCATCGGGAACTGGAAAGCGGCACAGCAGGTAAATATAGTTCCCAATCCTACTATAATTTAGATGTCTGGGATGGAAGCGACACAGTTCTGATAACAGACATACAGATTGCGACAAAACTGCACAAGCAATTTCAAAATGAGCAATACTTATATTGGAGTATCATGAGCGCGGTACTCCAGGTAAGTATAGGCAGTTGATTTTCCCATCGAGTCTAGCTCATATCTATGTAATCTGTAGGCAAATGATCCAACTACTCCAGCAAACTTCCGGTCTGTTCTTTACAAACTCGCCCACCGACTAATTTCGACGACTTCCGCTTTGTCTTACTACAATGCGGATCGCTTCTATTTGCATCTGGTTATACTTCGGGAGCTGGCGCTGTATGACGAAGCACACGAGTTGCTGGAGACCGATGTAGGGAAGAAGATTTGCGCGTCGAATCTAGCATGCGACGATTTGCGTCGCGATGTCTGGAGGCTCAAGGGATTGTACAAGGAGGAGGGCATACGAGCGCGACAGCGAATCGAGGAGGCAAAGTATGACATCATATTTTATCTATAGCGACTGCATGCTCATGCCCTAGGCTTGACACTTGTACAGAGACAGGAATTGGTTGGAGTTTACAGCTGTGCTGAACGTCACGTTTGGCGAGGAGAATTTGGATCCCGATACCTCTCGAACGGCTCTTGAAGAGAAAGTCTCTCTTGCGCGAGATTTCTTCGTGCAAGTAGCTGAAGACGACGGTAGGAAGGATCGTTCAGGGCTTCTGGCTTTGCTGGAGCTTGAAAAACGCGCTAGGGCGCACGGCGTATCCAAAGGTTCGAGACCATTTAAATCGCCGGCGTAGGAGTCACTGAAGGTTCTTTAGATCCTGGGGAGTTATTCATGCTACTAGAAAAGTATTACCATCGATTCGGAGATAAGCTCGCTTGCTTTGAAGACCTAAGACCATATATCCAGCTAGAGGAATCAGAATTGTCTGTGTGGTCATCTTTCCTTGAATCTCAGTCTACGAGTTCTGTGGGTCGTTACAGCATTTTCACATGGTGAATACTTTTTTGACCACTTCATCACAGAATACGATAGACGATCTTCTCCGATTTGTGAACGCTCAAAAACTTTTGCGCCACAACCTCCCAGAATCCGATGTTACGGCAGAAAAAGAGGCAGCCGGTGCTGTATACTACCTCCGTGCATACCTAGATGCTTCAAAATTCGGAACAGACCTCCCAGACACAGAGCTTCATCCAGCAAATGACTTAGCTCTCTTGTCAGGTCAAGCGTTTGTGGGTGCCTGGAAAGCTAGCGATGATGCTACGTATTTATATCATGCTGCTGCCGTACTGGAGTACGCATTGATACAGAGCAAACACTCGTATCAACTACGATTGCTTCTCATTCGGATTTACCGGTTGCTAGGTGTGTAGCCAGGTTGTTCCTCGACAACCGCATGGATTAATGCAAAACGCTAGGTGCACCATCTCTGGCATTGGAACATTATCGAGCAATGAATATCAAGCAGGTCCAGACGGACACTCTGTCGCATCTCATTCTGACGCGCGCATCAACATTCTCTTTGTCCTCCATGGGGGACTTGACATACTCTTCCGAGTGTCTCGAGTCAAGCCAGATTTACATGAATAACTCACAGGAGGTAAAATGTTACGTCTCCAGAATTCCTTTACTCTCGTTGATTGTAGCTTTCAGACAGCTGAGTTTACTGTGCGGGCTTTCGGTACCGAGAAATATACACAGGTTAGTGTCTTCCGGATTCAGCGAGAGCGTAGTGCCGACGATTGTACAGATACCTGAATTCATTGCCTTTGAGGAAAGACTAGACAACTCGCTACAACGAGACCTGACCAAGGTCGAACACGTCAGAATGCGTATCGTCCATGAAGCCCTCGTCTCTGATCTGATCGACATGGAACTCATCGAATTAAAGTTTATCTTCGATCGCTGTAAGCGTTTCACAATAAGTTCAGAGTTGACAGCTGAACTTCTAAATCAGTTTGCTTAGTTCATCATGATAATCGGGATTTTGATGTCATCCCCAATTATCAGCCGCGTTGTGGACAGTCATTTGACGAACAAACCGCTTTGTTTGGACAGCGACCAGGGGTATGTATCTCCAATACATAGATTGTACTCTGCTAACGTATTATGTTTCGTAGCCAGGTTGGCTTTCAATTTTCCTCAAGATCTATATCCGAGCGTTCCAGGCTGCGAGTGACCTTGATGATACTGTTGAGGATAAATTGCTCATCGGAGACCGGCCCAAACCGAGCCTGGATCCTGACACTCGGTTACCACTGAAGGAGCGATTAGCCAAGAGAACTCAAGACGAACTAGATGAGGTATGATGACAGTTGACTAGGCGTCGAACGAGCACCAATGACAACCATGCATATTGGCAGCTAACAGCTGATGAGCTCGCTTTCCTCGAATTTGGCACAGCTCTCGCGGATTGGTTGGCGCCATACCATGACTACGTCAGACCACCGGCGTCGGCTGTTCTTGCAGAGGCTGCCAAGCAAACAGAACTGAAGACGGGCCACCCGCTGAAGGGACTGGACCTTCCGCCCAAGAATGGTAGCACAACCAATGGACATATCAAGAAGGAAGAGGATCCTCCCGCAGCGAGTGAACCTCCAGAGGTTGTTGTTCAGTTCTTTGACAGTATGTCTTATCTAGTTCACTTGTGTCGCGATAAGCTTACTTAAGTGTTGTTATCAGATATGGCTACTCGTTTCAAGACTGCAGTAGAAGCAGGGCGGCTACCGTCCGAACTGCTCCACATTGCGACGCTTACGCAGGAGGCAAGACTCCCTCCTCGATGGTTTTGATTTACTCATGAGTTTCTAGGCCTTAGTTCTGCTGACCGTTGAGACCGTTCGATTCAAGCCAGCGTCTGTGGTGAAGATGCACAAGCTTGGAACCGTGCGTAGTGCTTTGTTTGTCCTATTCATGTGTATTCACTAGATGAACCCAGATGGCCCAAAGTTTCAAGGATATTCGTGCTAAGGCGTCCGCATCACTGAATGAGATATCGGAAGTCCTCGTTCGATTAGGCGAAGAAGGTGCTACAGTCGAGAGCCGTAAGGCCTTCGTTGAGGCCTGCCAGCCCGTGTGGGGTCCGTCTCTGGTACGCTCTTACATTGATATTTCCACCTATAGTCGGTAACTCTATTGTGGTGCAGTTGGATCATGACTTCGTGTCTACGATATCCAAGAAAGTCACAGATGCTCGAAAACAGATCCTGGAGGGTGTTGGGAAAGGCATTCTCCGCGTTTGCAAAAATCACGTATAATACGTTTTCTCTGGAATCATATGGTCGTCGCCTTGTATAGCTCTAGACATTTAGTAGACTCATCACCGCTCTAAACATGCTGCTCGTTACATTCCTTCTTTCGAGTGTGACAATGTTCCTGTGACTCCTGTCATGCGTGTGGCGACTCACGCGTTCTGTCACGCGTCGCGTCGCGACGCGACTTTGACTATCCATACCATCCCCTACACCAAAGCCAACCATCGAGCATCCCCAAGGTTAAAAATGAGCCAATGTAAGCATGCGCTGGCTCCGATAGCATGAAAATCTGAACGTACCATCCAGACGGTGAATACGGTGGCAACCCATACTATCAGAACGGAGGCGGAGGCGGAGGCGGAGGCGGTGGCGGATATTTGACCGGAGGTTCACCTTTCGGCAGTACAAGTGGCAGTCCTGGTGGCCAGTTTCGTGTAAGGTGTCGGCTTTGGACATTCCCTAGATTATGAGTCTGACACCCGACTAGCGAGGCGCTGCATTGCATTCACTTCGGCCCGTTACGATCAAACAACTTATTGATGCCACACAACCACACTCAGACGCTGAGTGGATGATTGAAGATGCTGAGATTGGACAGGTGGGTCGTATGTTTACACACTTACTGCCAGGTTTTACGCCGGTCTATACGTACAGATTACTATCGTCGCTCAAGTCATTTCCATACAAAGCCAGACGACTAATTGCGTATATTGGCTCGATGACGGGACGGGGAGAATGGAAGCGCGACACTGGGTTGATGCACAAGAAGAAGACCAGGACAGATGGGCGGGAGTTGCGTAAGTCACTCCCCAGTGCTCCCCTATTTGCACTCAAAATCGTACAGCGAGGGCAAATATGTCCGTGTAATGGGTAGCGTGAAAACGTTTGGAAATAAGAGATATATCAACGCACAACACCTCCGTGCTGCAAGCGATCCGCATGAATTGTATTTTCACTTGCTGGAGGCCATGACAGTTACCACTGTTATGATCAAAGGACCGGTAGGTCGACATACGTCATCTAGTATCAGTAACCAATTAGATGCTGTTTTCAGATTCCACGGCCAAGTGAGGCTGGAATGGCGCCGCGAGGAGCCATGGCTAATGGCCAGACAAGTACATCTGCGTACGCTGCACAGTCTCACGTGTCGGCAAGCAATAGTCAATACGCTCATCTACCGGACACGCAACGCAAAATTGTCGAATTCCTCTTGTCGCAGCCTACAAGCGAGGACGGCATACATGTCGCCGCGATCGCACGAGCCATTGGCGGGCAGGCCCGTGATATTAGGTGAGGGTTATAACCCAACCACGAATGCATGTGCTGAATCTTCTTGTGTGATGTTCAGTGAGGCCCTTGATCGACTCATGGACGAGGGACATGTATACAGTACCATAGACGATTCACACTTCAATCTTTCTGTCTGATGTTGCTCCCTTGTGTACTTAATCGCGGCTCTAGCCCGAAGGCAACAATGATCAGTTCCGCGGTCCAGTAATTGTGGCAATTCGGTTGAATTTGACGGCATTCATTAGGGTCTAGAGCACATTCGAGGTTTCTGTGGCTCGCAACTTTAATTGGTGTATTACCCCGGTCTCGTCCCGGACATCGTCCCGAGTGTGATGGCGCTCATACTTACTCCACGTGTGGGGGAGGGTTTGGGCCCTTGGGGCCCGGCTGCAATCCTGTTGTTCTCGATCCAAACGGCGCTAAAGGGTCTGAAGCAGTTTCGCATCCCAGTGCCAAGAGCCATCATAAAGAACCGAGAACAGAAAGGCGGTGGCACACCAAAACCAGGGTTTATTTACTATTTGCAACTTTTCGAAGCAATTTCGAAGCACCGAAAATTCCCTTTTGGGCGACACAACCAGCCATCCGATTGGCTATGATGGGCGCTCTGACTTGGAGGGAAAAATACATGCTCTATTAAGTAAGCGTCCAGAGAGTTGGCAAAAGGGATGCGAACCACCGTCATCAAGGTTGGCATGCATAGGACGGGTCATATGCATAGCAGCACCTATCGCGGTGTCACCAATCGTACCCGTAGCCGGCTATCCGAGATGCTCTTTCCCAGCCGGCAGGATCCATGTAAATATGTACTCAGCTTCCACCGGCGGACGCGTGCTGTTTGCACGGCCCTCAAATGACTTCTCTCTTGGGCGTCGTCGCTCGGCGTCGCATTATTGCGCTGTCTCGTAGCTCGAAACATGCTGGTGTATCTCTTGGAGGCTCCCGGAATAACACTCATTCATCTGCAGGACGTCAAGCCACTGCGAGACGCACTGTTAACACTACTCTGCTCTTCGGCTGTGCGCTCAGCGCATCTCTTGGGTATTATGCAGCGAACAGCGCCGCTGCTCGGCAGTCCGCACCACTGAACGTATCCAAGACTCCTTCAGGACTTAATGACCAGTACGGCACCCTCGAGGACTTCCAGCTAGCTATCTCTCAATTACGGCAAGAGTTCGACCCGGATGCCGTGACGACGGACGCTGAAGACCTGCGGGTACATGGATACTCTGAGAATGACTATCATCCTGGTGCGTCCACTTGATCGTATTCATATATTTGATCGATCGGTCTCGCGCGTATGAGCTACGAGCTGAGCCCAATGACTGACCAGGCTCATCGCCCTCCGTTGTTGTATACCCCAAGTGTACGGAGGATGTAGTCAAGATCGTAAAGATAGCAAATAAGTACAAAATGCCAGTCATTCCATATTCTGGAGCAACCAGTCTGGAAGGTCACTACAGAGCGGCAAGTCATCTCCGAGAACTTCCAAGTCGAGAGTGATTGACTCACTCATCTTGCCAAGCCGACAATGGGAGGCATCTGCGTAGACATGTCCAGTATGGACAAAATCCTCGAGATCCATGGTGAATTGTCACTCCCATGTCTGGCATGTGTGTTTCCTTGACTGGTTCTCTTTGCCAGAGGACGACTCGGACCTAGTGTGTCAACCCGGAGTACATTGGATGCACCTAAACGATGCGTTGAAGAAGAAAGGTTAGTTGATAACAATATGCTGCTTTTGGTCATAGTCCTTATTGTCACTTTCTACAGGGATACCGCTCTTTTTCCCGGTTAGCTCTTGCTGTTGATTGCGCTAGCATTGTGCGCGTTTATTTATATTCATTCATTACACCAGCTGGATCCGGCGCCTGGTGCAACTATTGGTGGTATGATCAGTACTGGTTGTTCCGGAAGTGAGAGAACTATTTCTGTTACAATTTTACCAATTTCTAATGCTGCGTAGCGAACGCCGTGCGCTATGGTACGGCCAAGGGCGAATGGATTCTCAACGTCGTACGTAATAATGTACATGCACGTCGCGGTTTCTCTAATTGTGTTTCGCTTCCCTATCGTAGACCGTTGTTCTTCCCAATGGCGAAGTCATTAAGACGCGACGCCGTTCGCGCAAGTCATCCGCGGGTTTCGATACAACGAAGTTATTCATTGGTGCCGAGGGAACACTTGGAATCATTACGGAAGGTTGGTCGTAGTGCCTAACCTGCATTATCGTCTTGACGGGTCTGTGCTCAGCAACTATCCGTCTGGCGCCTTTAATGCCAACGTCAGTTGCTGTAGTTCAATTCCCAGATGTGCGACAGGCCACGCAAGCTGTTATCGAGGTCATGAATAAAGGTGTTGGGATTCGTAAGTAGCCCGAACTGTCAAAGACGCCTCACAAGAGATTTCATGTGGCTGATTCATATCCGCCAGAATGCATTGAGCTCTGCGATAGTGAACACATGCGCGCGACTAATGTCTATGGCATGTCGTCTCGCAAGTGGCCGGAGAAGGATTCCCTATTCATCAAGTTCCAAGGACCCACTCCCCGTTCTATCCAGGAGTCAGCGGAAATTGTGCGGGAAATTGTTAAGAAATATGATGGGACTGGTTTCGAGCATGCTAGGACGGAGAAGGAAGCTGCTGACTTGTGGATGGATCGAAAGAATGCACTGTATTCGGGTTTGGCATTGGTTGAGGGCAGCCGAGGATGGAGCACTGACGTCTGGTGAATACTTACTGTCGTGAATTGGCGGTAATCTTCGTGCTGACGTGACTTTATACATAGTGTTCCCGTTTCGCGCCTCCCTGATCTTGTCTACCAGACGAAGGATGATATTCAAAAGTCTGGTATAGTGTCGACGATGGTCGGTCACGTTGGTGATGGTAAGTGATGTCAACATGTTCATTCGATAGGCTAACGGGAGAACGCCTTCGATCGTGTTTAGGTAATTTTCACGCCTTGCTACTATTTAAAACAGACGAAGAACTTGAAACTTGTCGACATGTCGTCCACCGAATGGTAGAGCGCGCACTTGCTCTCGACGGAACCTGTATGAACATATATCAAGCACTTCTTTCTCTTTTCTGATCGAGTCCTTGCTTGCCACAGGTACTGGAGAGCATGGCGTTGGCATTGGGAAGCGGAAATATCTAGTAGACGAACTTGGTGAGGGAACAGTGGAACTTATGAAGACCATCAAACGCACTCTGGATCCTTACAATCTGTTCAATCCAGGAAAGGTGAGTAATCGGCGTGTTTATTTCAAATTGGCTCTAAGTTACTTATTGTTGTACCATGCAGTTGTATCCCGATGCGGACCAGAGCAAGTTTCACCCCAGCGTGACACCGTCTAACGACTAGCATTGTACTCATATGCGAGCATGTACTTCGTTCGATAATTGTACAGTAGAAGCTATGTTGCGGTGAACGCGCGAATGTTTTCTGGCTGCCACTGATTGATTTCAATTGAATATTCAATAACTCAGATTCTCGGTTCCAGGCTAACTTATCGGCGTCCATCGATCTGAGAACAGCTACTTTGGCTGATGGGTCAAAAACAGGCGATATCTACATCTACAATGTTGTTCAAAGCTAGCCAGCAGCCCGTTGTCAGACTCGATGTCCGCAAGCAAGTGGCCGAATTGTTGGACCTTTCACGTTAATATTGCTTGCTGATGCTCGACAGTATACAGCTTTTGAACACGAGGCAATTCGGCCAGTAACGATCCGTCAGTTGTTGGAGGCTCAGAGAGCCCATGATACTGCGCCTTTTGAGATAGATGGGATCGATGTCGACGTAACCAGATATATTCCTATACTTCATACTATGTGTATGCTCATACCAATCACCAACAGCAGGTCGTCGTGGTCGCTCACCTTCGGGACCTGAGGCAAACTAGCACTAAGCTTATTCTTCGTCTCGAGGATGGAACGAGTAAAGGCCAGATCACCGCCCACCAATGGCTGTCGAATGTTCATCAGGTCTTCGAAGAAAGTAGGCCGGATCAAACATATGTACGGGTTGTGGGCCGATTGTCTAGGTTTCGGGGATCCCAGGCTCAGGTTGGCAAGAATGAACTAAGAGTGATCCATTTGCATGAAGTGACGGATCCTCATGAGCCCTTGTTCCATATTCTCGAAGCTTTCATGGTGAATCGAATCATACAAGTCGGTCCACCTGTGCGCTTTCAATAATCTCTCTGTGACCACCCGTCTTATGAGCTGTTAGCCTCTTCGTGCCCCTCCTCCGGATGCTATCAGAAGTCCTCCGTCGTCAAGAACACATGCTGCTCCTATTTCTCTTCTATCTCCTCCCTCTCCCCCGGTATCCCCAGAGCAGGCCCCAGACTCCCCCCATGGCATGTCTCCTCCTCCAGACGTGGGTAGACTCAGACGCTACTTCGATGGAAGCCCCTCAGCTTCATCCGAAGTATCTCCTGGATCTCCAAGGCATGCAACACCTTCCCGAGATCTTTTGCCTGCAGCCAACGTAAATAATGCTTTAGCAACGAGATCGAGCCCTGAAAAGGTTTGGGTTAAGCCAGGACATCGAGCAGAAGCAAGCCGACGCGATCCGATGTCCCATTTGACTGTCCTTCAGAGAGGGATAATTTTGGAGATATATAATGCCGCTTCTTCAAAGAGCGGTGTGGATGTTGTACGGATCGTGAGGGGCATCTCACACCAAGGCGTGACACCTGGAGAAATTGAGTACGTCTCAAAACGCGACCCGTTGTGTTCTATGCTATATCTCATGACATAACTTCTAGAAGAGCGTTAGACTACCTGATGGATGAAGAATTTATCGAACTTACGGTGGATGAGTCGCATTATCGACTAACACGAAAATGTTTGCTTGATAGGGTTGCTTACCCGAATTCATGAGCTTGAACGAGGTTCCGCGTCTCATTTAATATTTCGCATTTTGGTCGACTATTTCCCATTCCCCGTCGTGTATACTGGCATTGTATAGTAATAGGGCACTCTGTCGAGGCTATCATATTTCCACTTTCCGTATGGAACTCTGTACACCATATTCTGGACGAATTGATCACTATTCTGTACCATTTGTAACTCAAACGACATCTATTCTGTTGAAGTGTGTGTAGATTGAGCGACTAAAAACTCGTACAGGTCTTTCGCAATCCAGTCATGAACTTTGGTAGTAGGATGCAAGTGATCAACCCAAAAACTACCACGAGATTTGGCTATATCTTCCTTTTCAAAGCCATGCGAAATGGGGTCATTCAAAATACGCATGAATGTGTCCCATGATGAGAACAACATAACGGTAGCTGCAGGGTGAGAGGTGGAAAATACGGAGATGCGTGAGCGAAGTTCGGAGTTCCAGAACTCGAATATATGAGATGCCGCCTCGCCTCTCCGTTTACGTAGTGATTGACCTGAGTAATGAATCTCAGTACTGGGTGAGGAACAGAATGACAGCATGGCACTCACATGTGGGTGAGACATGCACAGGGGGTATATCGATGAACAGAAAGTTGCGCGCGCCTACACTGAATAATTCCTCTTGCTCTTCGAAGAGTTTATTGATTGATTTCTGTATTTGCTCCTTGCCTCCGAATCTAGGGACCAACTATCTAATTCGTGAAGGCAAGGCTCGTATAAGTGTGGCTTACCCGCAATCATTTATGCCAATCCAAGTGACTAGAGGATACTGGTACACATATCATAAATGGCAGAGTAAATGCAAGGCGCACTGAAAAGAGCATCCGTAGATGACCATGGCGCCCAAGTGGGTTTTTGACCAGCTCCAGGCAGAAACCCTGCACGAACCTGAGTGGAAACGCCGCGAACCGTATCTCCACCGACGGCGTAATCGTATACTAAAACAGAACCATGTGAGAGATATTTGGTGATGAGATGGCCGACCCAATTAGGTGTATCGGGCTCAGAATAGGTGGACGCGGGGAATGGTTCTCCAAGTGGATTATCCTTTGTGGGGGCTGGTGAGTATTTTGGACGATAGCCAACGTCCGAGTACGAATCTCCGCTTCAAGGTCGGGATGAGTAATGCCACAAGAGTCAACTTTGATGACTGACAAAATGATGAGATGAGAAATATTTTGGAGACCCCGCCAGTGCGGGCCAGTTGTTATAGTTGTAGAGTTTGTCACGCTGTCGGACGCATTTATGCGAGAACTTCTGCTGATAACGCTGCCCATCAAGAGCGTGAGGTCGTGAAGCCTGAGTTTCGACCAGCTGGCAGTCAACAAATAATGTCCTAGAGGTCAACTCTTAACGTGCTATTTTCAGTTGGAGTAGCTTACGAAATTGTACACGAATCAAATAAAAGTACTGTTATAACTCACTGGCAGCTCAACAGTGAAGCAAAGGTCAACGACTCGATCACCCCAGCGCCAATCATGTCGAGCAAGTGCTGTACCACGTGCAGCGTGCTATCCCCTTACTTTCGTGTCTCGGTAGGTGGCGAGTGCTAGCCTCCTTGAGTCTGTCTCCAGTCTGTCTCTGGTGCACCGCTTTCGGTCTGTAATAGTGAACTCTACGGAACATATCTTCGGCTCGTGTCTGGAAATCACATTTACTCCTTTTCATCTTGTCTAGATGAGACATTAAGAGACATGCCGTGGTGGTCGACCTCTTGGCTGCCCTCTTTGAATCTCGACTTCTCCTTGCCATCGGGAATCCAGCGACGCTTCATTTCGTTCGCTTTAAGGCGTTCTCTTGGCCATTTCCTAAAGCCCGGACAACTTGATGTGCAGCAGATTGACTCCCAGATTGGGTCTGGCTATGTTCAGGTCCGGGATCTTGAATTGGACAACGACGTACGTCAAGTCTCGCAGCGACTGTACCCGCATTGCTTGACCTAACTTTAGGCAATTAATGCCCTCGTTTCCGGATTGCCACTGCAACTTCATGATGGATCAGTCGCTAAAGTGACTGCACGCATTCCTTGGCCCAATCCTCTCACTTCCACAATCGGCCTTTCCCTGGAATCTCTTCACCTCACCTTTTATCTTGTACCTGTCCCGCCGGAGACGAATGTTACGAGCGTCGTAGATCTTGCTGACTCTGTAGCGTCCGTCGCAGAGTCGTTCATCCATGAGGAACTTTCTCCCGGAGAGGAAGCTACTCTCCGTGACTCCTTCCACCCTGAGGCATCTCTACAAGAGGACAATCTCCCGGGAGGTCTTGACCCTTTCATGGACGAAGAAACGCTGCGTAATAATGAGTTCAATCCCCCTGGTGTTTCGATATTTGCCACCCTGATTGAACGGCTGCTTGCCCGGTTTGCATTTGATGCCGTCGATACCAGAATTACACTGGTCTATCCGCAACACACCAGTTTTAGTCTGGTTGTTCCGGAAGCCCATTATTCTACAGAGGTCAAGACTTCAGCGCCCCTGGGCGAGGCTAACTCCCAGCGTCCACAAGACTTGCAAGGTGAAGTGCGGTCTATCACAATTTCCGGCGTGAATATCACCACTCGCTGCCTACGTCCTATCAGTTCACAGATTGCAGAGAGCTCACGGGAGACACCGTCTCCATCCCAAACGGTTCTTTCCCATGGTATTGCGTCGCCGATTTCTTCATCCCCTCGATCGAATTCATCGGATATAGATGATGAGGTACAGATGCTCATGTCTCAGTCCATTGCGGTTCTTCCTCCGAGACCGTCGTCCCCCGCCAGTACAGTTGCTAGCAGCATGTATGAGAGTGCAATTTCCGCTGTTGCTGCTTCTGGCTCTGAGCTTTCACAAGTTGACGACGCTACGCAAAACTCGAGCGGACGACAATCGTGCGAAGATAAGCAACCATCCTTAGATCATCCTTGGATCCCATCAGGTGCCGATCATGATCCTGGAGCTGATCCCTATGCTAGAATGAAGGAAATTGAGGATGAAACTCTCGTCTCTTTTGCTTCTGAATCCATTGTCATTCAGCTTACTACTTCTTTGTCTGCTGCATCCGCCACACAAACGGGCCAGCCTTCTGGATCCCAATCTTCACATCGTCCTGACCAAAACAACAAGACAACCCCTTTGAAAGGAAACAGCACACAAGAGAGTCGCGAGAAGTTAAGACTAACTGTCACGTTGGGAGTTCTTGCCTGTGCTTTTCGGGCAAGTCATATTCGCGGGATCATAGAAGTTGCAGATTTGTGGAACGCGCATTTTTCTCTCGCCGGCTCGGCTCATGGGACCTCCTCCAAGGTTGGACAATCAGATTCATCTCCTCTGGGTGCTATAGATGCCAGTCTCCGACTTCGTGGAGCAGTTATTCTCCTCTTGCCAGTGCCAACATCCCGAGGGGCAGATAATGTGAAGCTGAATTCGCTATCTGATTTCTTTGCACGGCCATTGGTGCCACCGACGCTTCCACATGGTTTCGTTCGCATACATCTTGACGACCTCTTCGTATCAGTGTCTACACACACAGAAGTGGCCGCAGATACAGCACCGCTGAGTACACGCAAGAGACCTTCCGTCCCTGGAGGGTCTTCGGCAATTTTGGCATCGTTGGCGGCCACGCTCTCCGAGCTCTCTGTGTTTGCATTTACCGTACCTCAATCCGATGTGACTCATCCCTCTGTTTCTGTTGGTCTGTACGCATCACCAATTTTGATTACTGATCCGCTTTTATGCTCCCAGTACTCTACGCAGCATGTCCATCCTACCGAGGAAGGTCTTGAGACGCGCCATACCCCTCTACCAGTATTCGATGTTGTCGACTGGACAAATCCTGTGGGCCGAAATGCCACATTGAGACTCTCACCATGGCGTACGAAAGCTCCTCAACGTCTCCATTCGTATACACGCCATCATTCGTCTTCGCACCCTCTTTCCGAGAGTCAGACTGGAGATGCTACGATGCACGGTCTAACGTCCACGAAAACGAATGTTATGCATGCCTCGTCATCTCCTGGTAGAGCGCCATTTTCAGTGTCTCCCAGTTCTCCTAGCAGACCTATAGATTCGATGAAAAGCCACCATCGATCAGCGTTGACCGTCAAGGTTCGGACGCCGTCTGGAGATGGCGAAACTGGTGGCCCGGAGATTCAAGGATCTTTCGAGCCGCTACATGCATTCGTGGATTTAGGTCTTTTGTTGCCCTTAAACGGTAGTCACCATGGTCGAAGCGAAGCGTTGGCCTTCCTTGAGGAGATTGCTAGTGTGGCAGAGCCGGCTGCTGATCTAACTGGTAGATCTGATGAAATAATCAATCCGTTCATGGATGACGACGCGTTTCAAACACCTGGTACACCTCGCGCTCGCAGGAGTTATTATTTAGAGCAGGAGACGGACAGGGAACAGGAGAGACGCAGACTTGAACGTCTGGTACTGGAAGACTTGGATCTTGGTTTTGATTATACTCAAGAGGTCCTAGAGCGGCAGAACACCGCCCCGTATGCTAAGTCTCGGCGAAAGGTAGAATGAATACACAACCGTCTGGTCATTGACTAATCATATCTTGCAGACAAAAAGTGGCCAAACATCCGGGGGGCATCCGCCTACCATTACAGTGCAATTCCCCGCGATACGTGTTGAATTGCGGACCCCGTCCCCATCCTCTCGCGAGCCGCGGTCGGGGGCCGTTGTGCTGGACGTACATAATCTGTGTCTCACACCTGGAAATGCTGTTCCTCGACGTAAGGAGTCGTCCACCAGGTTTATGACAATGGAGGATTCGTACTCGCTTGAGGGCCAACTGGCAGACATGGACACAGAACATGCAGGTACTCTGTTATCCGCAAATTGGGATCGCCTTGTAATAGCCTACAGTCTCTGTAGAGAAAGTAAGGCCAGCTCATTTGTTTCCCTTGGGCCCTATTCTCTAGATGAATCTGGCAAGGCTACACATTTCGGCGCTAGAGCACCGTCAGGCTCGCAGAATGCCCAGAAGGTTTCATTACCTCGACTCCAGGTCATACGATCCGATCAGTCAAGAATTATGACAGAGTCTCCCAGAGTCACAAGCTTGGCTGTCGTTCTGAACATTCCTTCTATCCATGTGGAGATGTCGAAGCCTGTACTTGACGGCTTGCAGCTATGGGCGGACGATCTAACACAGCTCATGCAGATTTTGTCTAGTGGCTCTGCGACTGAGGAAACTGATACCGAGAAAGCAGACAGTAGGGATCCTAGTCTCATTGGTAGCCGATACTTTGCGCGGAGAACGGCTAGTCAACTCAGTACCAACGAAAGCGGACATGGAAGTATTCATAGTGGACATTCTCGAGGCTCTGCGACGGAGACCGCAGTAAAGCTTTGCATAGAGAGAGGTGTGTCAATCCCCATGCTCTCATGCTGTCCTAGAGATTGAGCTGTAATCACGAACAGCGGTTGTGAGGCTACAGATCCCTCGGCAAGCAGACGGACCGGACTGCATGCGACCTTTGGATATTCTTGCATCTGACATTGATCTCCTGGTCGAGCTAAAACCAGACGGAAGGGTAAAGTAGCTTGTGTTGACGTTTACCCAGTCCACTAAACCAAATTATAGGACGAAACTGTGCTCACAGTGGACGTTCGAGATATTACCGTAAACGATACAGATTCATCGAGGTCTCGACAACCTGTCATATATCTGACACCTATCCACCAGCTGGTGAGCAGCGGCAGTCTATCACGTATCCTACATTCTTATGATGTATTTCACGCATAGGAATCTGCGTCGCGATCCGCCCTGAAGATCCGCTTTACATCTCTCACTGTCCCAGAAACTCTTTCTAAGGAATCGAAGATCAAGGCGATATTGTGCTCACTCACATATCATTTTGACCCGAATTTTGCTTGGATGGAGGATCTCGGTCGTTTCGTGAAGGCACCCCCAGGCGTAAGCGTTTACTTGAACGAAACAAACTCAATCACATTTGACGCATGTATATTTCTCTCAGGCTTTCGAATCTGTTGTTCCCAGCGAGCGAACCCGCATCTCATTGAAGCTTATAGACAGCTCAGTCCGTGCTCGCACCGCTGGTCATCCTGGCGCTTTGGTCCCATATATTGAAGAACTAAACCTCTCAACCGTCATCATAGGACACTCTAGTGAATCCAGCTTCGATCTGGAAGTGCCCTCTCTTTCGCTGCTATTCACAGATGACCTCACCGGTATATTGGAATCTTCTCAGAAGAGTTCCACAGAGCCTACTACAGCCGGTCTTTCCTTCTGGAAGGTTTGTAGTCTGTCTAAGCGACACTAACGTGACTGACGATTGGCTATAGGGAGTGGGATATACGTTGATCGCGGAACTTTCTGAGCTGTACCTACGTTTCTTTCGGGACGGCAGCGCTCAACAGGGTGACACTCGTGTGAGTATTCTCTTCGAACAGATCGAAACTTTGAATTTAGATATGGAATGTTCTTCTCCAGATCACCATTTCCCAAGGCACATTGTCTCTTCATTTATGTGCAGATACCCTAAACGCTGTAACCGGATTTATCGGTAGTCTTGTTTCGGCACTGCAAGGCCCCCGAGTCGCGGAGTAAGTTACAACACAAATTCGCAGCATTATCCGCTGCTGACGCTTCTTAGACAACCGAAGAAAGACAAGCCTGCGAAAGTGTCCGTAACGTCGACCACAGCCCGAGGACTTCTCTGTGCGCCAAGGCATCCTTTTCGCTGGGTAATTTGCTCAGTTTATCTCCCCTCTAGCTTCTCTAGATGAGGATGCATTCCGGCAACTTCCAGAAATTGGCGCAGCCCCTGACATGGTCCAAGATGATTTGCCCCATAATACTGACTACCTTGATGAATCCTTCGGAGCTGCTGCTGGTCTTCGAGAAATTGACGACAACGAATTCGACGAGTACGAAGTTAGCGAGTCACGCTCCCTTGATCCTAGCGGAGCAGATAAACCACATTCAATTGCAGCTTACGGAGGCGAGACGATCAAAATGCTCCATCCTGAAGGCAAAATCCATATTACTCACAATCATTTCGATGCATTGACGCCAGATTCCTCCGATGACTCGTCAAGGTCAGTGTTAATGCTGTAAATAAATGATTGACGCTTGACAAAATGTAAACTCAGGTATGGAGAAACGACGATGCACGTTCGAGTGCGCGATTTTGGATTAGTACTCTTCCTCTATGACGGATATGACTGGACGCGCACTCGTAAGATTATCGAGGAAGAGCAGAAGGAAATGAGACGGAAGCTTGTCAAGATCAGACAGTTGATAGCAAATGGACAAACTCCTGACCCCAGTGTTGAAGAAACAAATACCCTTCTGTTCAATTCTGTCTACATTGGTCTGGAGCACAATGTTGACGAGTTGGAGCCAGTGGCCCTCATTGCCGCTATTGATGAGGAGTTAAATGAGGACCTGGAGACCGCCAGTCAAAGTTCGTGGCAGGCGCTCAA